ACCCTACAAGCCTGTACCCCCGGTCGTCAGCACACAGCCCCTCTCCCTCTCTGGGTCTAAAGTCCCCAGCTGCTCCATCTCTCCATGTCATCAGCTCTGCCTCCATCTCAGGCATCACTGCTTCTCTGGGTAGGGCCTATTGATGTACTTTTGAATTATCTTCAGCAAAATTTTACTTGTATATATTATTAATGAATACCGTTTGATGATTTCTGCATTCTGATGGGTCACTTCTCTGGAATGACAACAAATATGGATCTCTTCCAATTGGCTGGCCAGGGAACTGTTTTCCAAAATGAGCATCTCCTGTGCTGCATTAGTTTGCTGCAAGATTTCAGTTTGTATGGTCAATTCCTGGAACCTTGTTTTTGTCTAATGCCTTCAGTGCAGCTCAAATTTCTTACTTCAGTACCATTGGTTCTTGATCATATTTTATACCTCTTGCAATGGCTGAACACTGACCATTTCTTTTTGGTACACTGACTATGCACTCCTTTCATCTTCTCTTGATGCTTTCTGTACCATTCAATATTCTGCTGATACAATCCTTCAATATTGCAAGTCAAGGTCTAAATTTTTCCTTCAGATTTTTCAGCTTGAGAAATGCTGTGTGTGCTGCCCTTTTGGTTTTCTAACTCCAGGTTTGTACACATTTCATTATAATACTTGACTGACTTTTCAAGCTGCCTTTGAAATTTTTTGTTCAGCTCTTTCACTTATTCATTTCTTCTATTTGTTTTTGCTTTCCTACACTCGAGTAAGTTTCAGTTTCTTCTGATATCCAGATTAGTCTCTTCTTTCTTTCTTGTCTTTTTAATGCCTCTTTACTTTCTTCACTAAGGATGTTCTTAATGTTAGCCTACAAATTTTCTGGTCTTTGGTCATTAGTAACTATTGCATCAAATCTGTTCAGTAACAACAAAGACTAGTCAGTAACCAATAATAAAGCATGCTCAAACAGGGATGGTGTTGTTAAGTGCCACCCAGTTGGTTTTGACTCACAGTCACCCATTATAGAGCTTCCAAGGAATGACTGGTGAGTTTGAACGTCTGACCTTGTGGTTCGCAGTCCACTGCTTAACCTCCAGTGCCATATCAGGACCCCTTAAACAGGGATAATGACTATTAATTATACCTTTTCTATGAGGCGTACTGAACCTGAGACACAAAGAGAGCTGCTCAGCTGCCTGAAAAATAGTAGGTATTCAGAAAGCAGAGGTGATGACAAGATTGTAGAAACTTGTGAGTAGATAGAAAATGGATAAGTAGAAGCTATGAATAATCGAAACCTCTGGGTATTGAATAGAAGGCAAATTTTAATTGGCTGGGATGATGTCTAAAAAATGATGTCAAAAAGAGGGATGAAGTCACCATGAATGGTGGTGAACAAAAGTCTTACTTTTGAAAAGGCAACAAAATAATATTAAAATTGCCTTGAAATGTGGTCTGCTATGTAACTGCTGAATTATCAATACTCCAGTCTATGTGAAATATGGTTGAGTAACTATACATGTGTTCCTGTCAGGTTTCTGTATTCTCATGAGATTCTTGTGCTCCCTATGACCTCAACCCACAAACATTAGATAGTATAATCATGTAACATTTCTCGTAATTCCTTTACCATGTGACATTCACCATACCTCTAGTTATGCATGGGTACAATAGAAAAACTCTAAGCTTGGAAAAGAAGTTGACATACTGATAGATTACAGGAATAATGGTTTATCATAATGTCTTTTATTGGGAATTTAATATTTTTCAATTACCAAATGTTGATTTGTATGAATCACTTGTAGGATACCACTGTAAGAAAATATACACTGTGCAGAGTTATAGAGCTAATACATAATCATGAGCACAACTGGCTGAAACATGAAAACAAAGCTGATATCTCTAGATACAGACAAAGGTCAAGGAAAAGGAAGGGTTACATAGAAATACGTGCTGTTAAGTGAAGCAGCCAAAGGAAACAGTGTTACTCATCATAGATAACAAACTTCTAAGCATAATAGCCAGGTTAAATTATACACATTTATTATTTTTAAAGTAACCACTTTAGTTAACCTATTGAATTTTTGGGAAAAATCTTTTAAGACCAACCCTATAGAAATAATCTCTAAGTGTATAATGGAATTTATATATTTTGAATAAATATAATACTATTTAAAAGAATACTTACGGTTATGCTCTATTCTCTCTATAAATAATGCATAATTAAGAAGAAATTACTGCTTTCTTAGGACAAATTATGGCTAACAAAACATACTTGTAGCTCAAAAGCAACAAAAGAAAACCCCAAAATAAACTCTTCATTAATCTGAAACTAAAGATGAGCTTTCCATTTCTTCTCAGAATCTGTGTTGCTAACTGTGAAGAGAAAAAAAATCACAAAGTTAAAAATGAATACAAACACATATAAATGCACTGGATTTTTCACTTAGCTTGTGGCTAGAAAAAGTAGTCATTCCTAAAATGATTTTGTGTTCAACATAAATTTGATTTTTACAAACTTTTCTGTACATGTAAAGACATTGTTAAGACTTCTATACAGAATTTACTTTTATTATCCCTTGATTTAAAGGCTTAAATATTTATAAAGATTATTAATGTGACAATTTAATACTAGTAAATAATTACAGAATTACTGTTTACTATGTTTGGATTTGTTTCCTTTACTAGTGATCAAAACTCATAGTTGTTCTAGAAGGTCTTGTGGCCTTCTTTCCTCCATGTTTCTGACTGTCATTCCTGTGAGTGAGGATCAGAACCTCTAAGGGGGATTCTAATTCCTGTGGGAGTTTTTGGTTCCCATTTAGACTAAAACTGGCATCGTGATAATATTTATTTGCAGTGCTTGTCTTCCCTACTTAACGTGGTATTCAGAGGAAAATGCTGATGAGTATTTTTTTTTCTCCTAAGAGGAAACTTGTGCATTTGTAAAAATATTCGAGACTATGACGATGAAAGAATTAAAATGGAATATATACTTACATACTTTACCTTCTTTTTCTAATTTTTTCAAATGAAGCAAGACATTGTGTTCAGCCATCTTATGCAAATGCTCAGGAGTATTCTAAAAGAAAAATGAAGATGAAATTTAAAAAAAATTGTTTTAAGTGAATCCTTCTGACACCTTAAAGAAAAACAAGATGCAACAACAACAAAAAAAACTGAAGCTGAACATTTTTATACAGTAATAAGTAAAATGATTTCACTTTTAAGATATTATATTCCTCTAGATAAAATATGCCATAAGCTCTAAATGTCCATATGCTGTATAAATTTGGACCAGTATTGCATACCCAGAACTTAGTACATAATGTTACAATCAATGAATGCAAATGTTATTCTTAGATATTTTTGATGTTATAGGTAGATGGCACTATGGTCTATTTTTATTAGGTTACATGGTTTTCATACATTTATACGATGTTTTTGCCCTGTTTTATAAAAGAATATAAATTTCAACTTTATGATGCATAATTTTTACTTTGGCTAACATAGTACTGTAGTATTTGGCAAGTGTCATCTGAATGACAAAGCAAATAATTCCTTTTATTCTTTAAAGAAGGATTATTGTTCTGGAAAAAAAAAGGTTGGATAATGTCCTCAGACATACTTAGGTTTGGATAGGAAGAGGAGAAGGATAAAGGAGGAGAAGAAAAATTCCAACTGATAGCCAACGAAGTAACTCTTTGTGAAGAGTCTTAAGAAAAGGAAGATTGTGCTTACTGAATTAGTCTACACTGCATGTTAGGGTTCTGCTTGCCTGTTTATCTCTGTGTGTTAGAGTTCTCCTTGCCTGTTTATCTCTGTGTGTTAGGGCTCTGCTTGCCTGTTGAATCTCGTTTACATCTCAGAAGAGACCGACTCAAAACACAACCTAACCCAGTAGAGTGCATCCAGCCTCAGAATGTAAATTGCAATTTCATGATTCATCATTTTGTGTTTTCTTTGGCTAATACAGTAATATAATATTTGACAACTTTTTCTGGATGCCATAATAGTGAGGATTTATAACAGGTAGGATAATCACATCAGATCACAGCTGAATAGATCAGCTAGTACCATGGGTGTGGTCATATTACATTAGATCTCACCATGGGGATTACTACCTCTGAACTGCCAAACCACAGAGAATCCAAGGCCCAGCCAAGTTGATACAAAACCTTAACTATCACACTCAACTAGGCACCTCTACATATCTTTTAAAACCGTACATAATCTCTAAATAAAGACAATTATAAAGTCATCCAGCAGCAACATTCCTCATAAAACTAACACAGACTTACTTTGTTCTGGGATGTGGTACATTTACCATACTTACAACCTACTAAATAGATTATTTTAATAGAATTGCAGTTATGTACAAATAATACAAACAAAAATTACCTTGTAAATGACTTTTACAAGATCCATAGCTGTAAATGATTTTTCAAAGTTCTCATTAAATACTGTCAGAATTTGCTGTTCTCGGATATTTCTGTGAGAAATGTACTCTAGAATTTTAGCTTCAGCATTACAGATTACTGGGCCATGTCCTGAATTAAAATAATTTTAAAAATTATTTCAAACAAATTTTAAAAATTAAGTACAATTTATGTCAATGCATTCTACAAACATATCAATTGTGTAATACCTATGATTTATTAAGAAATATATAAAGGTATAAGAGATTTAGCATAGTGGTTATGAATCGGGCTGCAAACCTCAAGGTCAGCAGCTCCAAACTACCAGCTGTTCCTCAGGAGACAGATGAGGCTTTCTGCTCCCGTAAAGATTTAGAGCCTCGGAAACCCTGTACAGGGTTGCTATGAGTCGTAACCAACTCCATGGCACATAACAACAACAAGAGATTTAAAAATTAGTTACAATGGTAAAAAATATTACAGAAGCAGTGCTGCAGGATAAGTATTTAACTGCTAACCACAAGGTTGGCAGTTCAAATCCAACAGCCACTCCTTAGAAACCCTGTACATGGTCACTATGAGTTGTAATCAACTCAACAGAACTTAACAACAATAAATAAAATTCATATAAAATGTTACTCTATATTTTAAAACTATAAATAAAAAACTCTGGCAATAAAATATTTTAAAAATTAAAAAGAACAACTACAGCAGTAACAATATTGTTGTTGTTAAGTGCCATCGAGTCAGTCCTGACTCAAAATGACCCTGTATGGGGTCCCTAGGAGCTACTGGTAGGTTTGAACCACCAACCTTATGGTTAGCACTCCTTATAGAGCTACACCACTATTGGAGGAAGGCTCATTAACAGCCAGTGATATGCATAAGATACAACCTTGTTTTCTAACAGCAAAGAGACTCAAAATACTTGCTCATGATTATCAAAGACTACAGCCTTCAGTATGGATTGTACCTCAATGTAAAGAAAATAAAAACCCTCACAACTGGGCCAATAAATAACATCATGATAAATGGAGAAAAGATTAAAGTTGTCAAAGACTTCATTTTTCTTGGATCCACAATCAACACTCATGGAAGCAGCAGTCAAGAAATCAAACAACATATTGCATTAGGCATATATATATATATATACTGCATAAGATATTTTTAAAGTGTTCAAGGGTGCGTCTGACCCAAGCCATGGTATTTTCAATTCCCTCATATGTATGGGAAAGTTGGACATTGAATTAGGAAGACCAGAGAAAAATCAATGCACTTGAGTTATGGTGTTGGAACAATACTAAAAGTACCATGAACTGCCAGAAAAACCAACAAATCTGCTGTAGAAGAAATACAGTCAAAATGCTCATTAGAAGCTAAGATGGCCAGACTTGGTATCTCATATTTCAGACATGCTATCAGGAGGGACCAGTCCCTGGAGAAGGACATCATTTTTAGTAAATTGGAGGGTCAGCATAAAAGAGGAAGACCCCCAATGAGATGACTTGGTACAGAGGCAGCAGTAGTGGGCTCAAGCATAACAACAATTCTGAGGATGGTATAGGACCAGGCAATGTTTCGTTCTGTTGTGCATAGGGTCACTACGAGTCGGAGCTGACTCAGTGGCACTAACATCGATAGTAACCTCATGAGACTGTTGTCAGAATAATATATATCAAACATTTAGAGAGGTGCCTACCACAAATAAGCATTGGATACAGTTAACGATTGCTACTGAGTCTTGGTGTGGGGCTGCAATATAATGCACTGGACTGAAAGGTATGTTTGACTCGCAAGGTTGGCGGTTCAAACTCACCAGCTGCTCTGTGGAAACCCTACACTATGAGTCGGAACCAACTTTATGGCACTTAACAACATTGTTACTATTACAGTTGCTCTTTTTATTGCCATTTTAATTTTTAAAATATCTTATTGCGTAAGTTTTATTTTATATTATTAAAGTATACAGTGATATATAGATTTTATTTGTTGTTGTTGTTGTCAAGTTCTAGGATGTTAACCTTAAGCACTCTGGTACATATATTATCAAATCTCATAAGGTAGGCCTATTAGTATCCCTTTTTACAGAAGAAATTGAGGTATAGGGCAAATAAATAACTTGCCTGTGGTCACAAAGCAGACGAGAGGTGGAGCTAGGATTCAGATCCCACAATCTTTGCTATAAACCAAAATGCTACACTTATTTATACAAGATTAAAAAGGAGGAATGTAAAAAGCAGCTTCATGTAAGTGCAAAAATTTAGTAAACATTCACCTATAGAACATTAATGTTAAAGAATCTTATGTATAAGCTAGCAATTCAGAAAGTCTGACAATCTGGATAACTTTATACTAAAGGATACTTGCTCTTTAAGATAGTATAAATTAATATATTACACAAATCTGCAGAAAGAATTTTTACAATGTCTGAGAACAGAGTATACTGGAAGTGGGAAGAGTGCTGTTGCATTGTGATGATTATAATCATTATAAAATGAAATGTGTTTGAATGGAAAACCAGTTTGCTCTGTAAACTTTCAACCCAATCATGAATAAGTTTTAAAAAATTCTGAAGCAGGCAAAGAAACCTATTGTCATGGAAAGGGCATGAGATTTGGCTAGAATACAGACAATCACTTTCTGGCCATGTGGCCCCAAGTTCCTGCATCTCTCTGAGCCTGTTTCTTCAACTCTCCAATGAGAACACTATTACCTTCTTCACAGGACTTTGGTCAGATGGTAGCTAAAGACGACTCTGCATAGTACCTCACAGGTAGGAGGAGGCTGTCCATATGGTAATGATGGTTCCAGACAAGAATTTACATATAAACTCCTGCTGTACTAATTAGCCATTCCACTGGATTCACTAAAAGAATCACTCCAAGGACCTTTGCTAGGCAGCCACTCATTAGCACAGCTTGGAGGTGAGTCCACAGAACATCTACTCTTTTCTTTAAAAACAGCTGACTGCTTCCATTCCTTCCATGTCACGATATTACTCCAAATGCTTGCTTCCCTTGTTCGTTTCCTATGGCCTCAGCAGTAGGAACTCAGGAGGAAATGTGAGAGCACTGAAAACACTGTATTTACAGATCTTTCTGTGGTTGTTTGCTAATTAGAAGCAAAATAGAAGAATTTAGGAAATTAGGTAATCCAAGTCCCTTTTTTTTCTTTTAGGTCCTCTTGATAAAGGGACCAGCCATACTGCAGAGTGAAGTTCTTTCGGAGGTATTAGTAGCAGGTTTCTTTTTCTGGAGAATGGAAGTAAATTTACCATTTTACAGCTGATATGGCAGCTAGTGATGGTTCAACAGTATGAATGAAGAAACCAAAGTTCAGAGGTCGAATGTTACTCAAGGTTATAAAGTTAAAACGTGACTGACACACAATCAAAATCAAGTGAATAAAAGTTTAAATTGTTTATTTAAAAAATTCTCTTCCACTCTAAGATTTTTTCTCAAGTTTAAGTCTTGTGAATCAAACAGCTGTATAGTTATTTTTAAAACCTCCCACAAAATACGGTCTCTTTGGAAACGTTTTTAATATAACTCTTGGTCTTCTTTTTAAGTATGACTGAATAGCTAGCCAAAATGTAGGGATGTACCTTAAAGAAACAATTTATATGTATGTCTTCAAAAGGAAAACACACAAACATACCACCAATCCCCCCAAACTCCTGCCCCCCTTCCCCCAAACACCTAAATGAATCTTCCTCATCATTTGACACAAATGGTTGGCTAGAATTGAAAAATAACCCACCTGGATATATAACATTAGCCTTGATTTTCAATAACTCTTTAAGGGAGTTCATATAATCATAAAGGTCTTCAAATACAGTTGTTCCTTCCCCCAGGATACAATCTCCCGAAAAGAGAGCATTTTCCTCTTCTAAAAGAAGGGCCATGTGGTCATCAGTGTGGCCAGGTGTGTATATAACTCTGGTTGAAAGATGGAATAGGAACAATTATGAGCTCTTTTAAGCTTAGAAGAAATTATGAGAAATCAATTATGCTCTAGGCTTATCTCTGAACCAGGTATTAATAAAGGATACATACCAATGCATTAAGAAGTTCCTTTCTTTTTCCTTGTGAGCCACTGAAAATTATCACCAGAAAATTCTTCCCTTTAACTAAATCAAATTTCTCAAGAAGTGCAAACTTAACACCCCACCCTTCACCTAATTTTATAATAGGCACTGATTGCAGAAAGTTTAGAAAATACAAAAGGAAAGTACTTACAAGAGCTAAACATTACCAATCATCCAACTGCCCAGAAACCACTTTTATTATAAATAATTTAATTTAAAAAATAAAATTATGGTATTTTTTATACCTAAATTAAAATTTTTTTAACCTATTATATTTTCCCTACCTCATGACATAATTTTTTAAAAACATGATTTTAAATGATTATACAGTATGAATGAATTATAATCCATTTAATTTCTTATTGCTAGACATTTATTTTCAGTTGTACTTCACTAATAACATTATGGTGACTATCTTTAAAAATAGTGTTGTTGTTTTTTTTTCAGTCTGAGAATTATCTTCTTATTGGAGTAAATGACAACAAAAAACCCGAGCCCTACTGCCATCAAGTCGATTCTGGTAGTTATTCCACACATACACTGAAGTCAAACTTTTTAGCTACTAGACTTTCTTGTTACTTTTAGTGAGATGGTCTGCATTTTCTTTGCTGCTCTGTTTTTTTCCCCCCAACAATTTATAAGCTACATATACTTAACTAGATGTATTAGTTTTACTTTCAAATGTGATGTGTTTCCAAAGGTTGCTGGGAAATTTAAAGATAAGTTTTAAGGGCTTTTTGAATAATAGTAGTTGGCACAAAGTTACACACTCACTCAATCCGTGGTAAATATTTCATTTTAGTAGTTGTTATTAAGTGCCATCAAGTCGGGTCTACCTCATAGTGACCCTGTATAGAGTTTCCGAGGAGTGGCTGGTGTGTTTGAACGGCCTACATTGCAGTTCAAACCGACCTTGTGTTCCCATTCTTCTCCTACAGCACTACAGTAGTGGCCATGTGAAAACTGCTAGCCCATTGTGTTCTGAAATTTCTCAATGATATGTCATGACAAACTTCATGTTGCTGGGCCCTTACTGGCCTTTTCAGTGTGGAACATGTGTTATTCAGCTCTAGAAATTTTTCTTGAAGAAGTTATTCATTGATTATTTTCTCTCATCTGTTTTTTTTTTTTTTTTTTGGTTTCATTTACTAAAACTTTTATTTTGTTAGAAATCCTAAATTCCTCCTCTAACTATGCTTCTATGGCTTCCAAATGTATACTTTATATATTATTAACTCTACTCCCGTAAAGATTTACACCCTCGGAAACCCTGTACAGGGTCGCTATGGGTCGGACCCGACTCGATGGCACTTAACAACAACAACAACATATTACAAATGTTTCAATGGTTAGGAGTCATCTCTTTTGTCTGATTTAACTTGGTTCTGTAGGATAAGCACTGGATTGTGAACTATAAAACTGGCGGTTGGAGCCCACAAGTTGCCCGTGGGAGAAAGATGAGGCTTTCTGCCCCGGCAAATATTAAGAGCCTTAGACACCCTGTACAGGGTAGCTACGAGTTGGAACTGACTTAACAACAACAACAAAAACAAAGTATTAATAAAATTATTCAGTGTTAAAAAAAAGTAATTCTAGGAAGTATATTTTGGCAACTATGAAAATGCATATGTGGGTGTGTACCATATCTGATGAATAATCTTATGGTTACACATGGAATGCATTATGACAAATAGCATACCAATGCTTTAAAAAAAATCCATTTGGAGAATAATTCTCTTTCAAAGCTTCCAAACTGTCTTATTTTTAATGTGCTTGCATTACATTAAAAAAAAATTATTTCCCTCCCACCTCCCTCCAAAAATTCAGTAATGGTTTTCTTCCATATTTTCCAGGCTGAAGGAAATGAGATTTCTTAAATTAGGAGGAACAGAGAATTTTCTATGTTCTAGTCACCTGGATAGTTAATTGCTTTACTTTGTATGTAAATTATGTTAAAATTAATTTCAGATGACATCAGAAGTGCTTTGCTAAAGATCAGAGGCACTGCAGCTGTGGTCTTCCCATTTATCAGGCTGAGAGTTTATCGAAATCTGCCACTTCTGGGCAGAGTAGGCTTTATAAAGACAGCTCTCAGAAAATTCAAGACAGCCAACAAAAACTATCAGATGGACTTTTCCTTGAGAAATCAAATTTAGTTCACTAGAAAGCTCTTGGGAGTTATATCTAGAATCATTTACTCAAAAACCATGCTAGCTTTCTACTTTTTATTCCAAGGCTCTAGGTGGGTATCAGAGTCCTGGTCTGGCACTGTGGGTTAATGTACTGGACAGCAAAGCTGGTTTGAACCAAAAGGTCGGCGGTTCAAGCTTACCGCTCACTTCTTGGAAACCCTATACAGAGTCGCTATGGGTTGGAACAGTCTTGATGGCACTTAACAACAACAAGATAGGTATTCTCTCTGCTTCTAATGGATTACACTATTATTATTTTTTAAGTTAGTAGTACTTTAGATGAACTGGACATAGACTACTTGGGCACTTCTTAACTGTCTATTCATGTTTTTTAACATTTTCTATGAATTGTTTAGCAATGAATCTTCATGTTAACAATGACCTGATAACAATGGAAACTGGAAATCATTATCAGAAGCAAATTAAATGTTTTATTAGGGTTTTATATAATTAAAACTATGTTTTAAGAAGGAATTACTTACTAGTAACCATATTTAAAAAACGAGTCTGCTTTCCTTGATTCTTTCTATGTTAGCTTTCCACTAAATATTTTTCTTTAATTTTGCTGTTGTTGAGAATATACATGGTAAAATAGGCACCAATTCAACCGTGTCTACATTTAGCAGTATTAATTACATTCTTTTAATTGTACAATTATTTATACCTTCCCCCATTAACATCAACTCACTGCCTCCAAATGTTCCTAATTTTTCAAGTTGTTGTTGTCGTCAGTTTTATCCCATTTAAATAGTTCTTTAAAAGAGCATAATGTTTAAGACCTTTTTTTTTTTTTATTTTAAACTAATTAGGCTAAACTATTTCGTTTTAAGACTTCAGGAAATATTTTTGGTTTTAGGTTTAAAGATTATCTCAGAGCAGTAGGGTTTACCTACGTTTACCAACCTTTATGGCTCCAGGAACTCTGGAGTCCATGCAAATGTGAAATTTGGTCTGAATGATTCCC